ATGAATAATAATTGAAATATTAATAATTAAGATAAAAGTTGGGTAGCATTGTGAAATGGAATATGCTCTTACCGATTTGATTTTTTGATAAATATTTTAAGTGATTGATCAAAATTACATAAATGATTTTTCTGCCACTCTAAATGTTGAAAATAAAAATTAACCATATATAAAATATCGCTAATTTTATATATTTTGTGTATTTAAAGTATTACAAAAATATTTAATTGCATAATGTCTTTGATAATATTATTTATCTTTTTATTATAAATTTTTTTTATTATAAAGCCATAACTCTTATATACTTCTTGTATATTGGATTGAATTTAAATATTCTTGAATAAATTATCTGATATTCGCAAATAATATCAGTTATTGTATAAATGCCTAAACGCCTAACACCGAAAAATGAACACTAATAAGCTATTTATTATATAATTAAATTATATTATTATATTATTTGGCACCAATTTATTTGTAGCCATGTCGATTGTCAAACCTAGAGTTTAGTGCAATTAGTACCAGAAAAAAGTTCTGGAGGGTACGGATGAAATGATTGCTATGAGAAATGAAGCCTTGAAACTTTTGCTATGAGACACGAATAAGCAATTAACCAATATGGAGATAATTTATGTAATACAGTGGAAGAAAAAGTATCCGATTCATTATTAAATTATAAGCTACAATTTCGAGCTTTTTAGTTTGAGAGCACGTGGAATTACTGATTTTAATCAGAGTATCATGACACTAGGAATTAGTTAGTCTCGTTTATCAGTTTTAACGATAATAAGAATCTTGTCTATTCTTTGGATTTTTATTGCGCCACTCATTTGTTTGTTTTATTTATCAACTAATACTCCATTTTACAACATTCATTTTAATTTCTTTGTTTAATTATTATAAATGTATTATAATATAATGATTATACAAACAAAATAAATTTGTAATCGGTACATACATACGTGATCTTAATGCAAAATAGTAAAGTAACTTTTTCTCAATTCTTTTTTAAGATAAAGATGTAACTGTTACTCATTAGCTATCGACACCAAACTGACGATCGAAAACTATTCCAAGTGCTTCCTGAATATTCCACTGAAACGAAACATTCCTCAACAAAGGGGAAGACGTGCAATTTCTCTCGACGCAATTTGTCGGAATCTACCGAAAACAATTCTCTATTGAAGAGAACAGTAGGCGGTTAATGGAATGTATCCGTTTAAACCACAGAAGGAATTTCAAAGTTGTCGGGCTGAATCCTTTGGTTCTTGGCAGGCATGCGGTTGGAATAACAACTGACACTGACAATCAAAAGAATAAAAAAAAAGAGGGGGAGGGAAAAAAGAATGGAGTGGAGTTTTGTCCGTAGGGTTCCACGGTTTGTGCATACGAAAAAAGATTTTCTGACTTGCTGTATAGCTACCGTATTTATTATTAAGGATTACACCGTATTAAATTTAAAAAAAATATAACCACCAAAAGTTTCGCATGTAAGGTATTAACAAATATTATAATAAAATATAATCAATTAAGAGATTATAACAATAATAATAATATTGTAGTGATACGTATGAATATTTTCTACTTCTATATCTATGAATGTCTTCTAAACTGCGACAGCTAAACAAAAGATTTATGCACGAATTAAAGAAAGTAAGTAATAGATTTGCAACATAACCCAAAATACCTACGTCATCAAAAACAATAACTCTATGATAGCTATAGCGAAAAACACATTGTTACTTGCAAAAAAACATTAAATCCTATGAAAATTACCAACTCCAATCTTTTGTTGATATTACAATATAGAGAAATCAGTGTAAGTCGCTTAAACAACAATACTAAACTTACAATATAGAGAAATCAGAGTAAGTCGTTTCGTTAAAAATAAGTTGCACTATGTAATACTTCTTTATTGTTAAAATCTTTAGTTAATGGAAGAGTTTATTTATTATAATGTAATCATTATACATAAACTGTTCCATTGACTGTCGATTTTAATAATGAAAGTATGTACGACATAAGTTTCCATTTTTAATAATTAACTTCTGAGCTCTCGATATAAGAAATTTGTTTGCCATGCTAGAAACAAATCGAAGAAAATAGAATGTGATCAACATGATCATTTAGATTTTAATATTAGTACAAGCAAATATTTTAATTGTTCATACAATTATTAATTATAATTATTCACACAAATATAAAATAATTTAAACATCAGCTATATAGAAAATATTGTGACATTGTGAATGCAGATAATTTTTCACATTTTTCACATTGTTTATACATTGTTTGTATTCACATTCATTTTTATCCTATGATCGAATTATCACAGCACAACAATTCCGACGCCTACTCTTATCTCAAACAATTTACGTAGGTGTCCACTACAGTTGCACTCGTGTGAGTCAATTGCTGATCAATTAAAAGATTTCATAATGATCATCTAATAGACATTCACGTTTTTCTTGTATTTTCCTGTATGGTCAGTTGACGTTTTCTAAATACAAATATCGAGGCCTATATTTATAATATTTTATTAAAAGAAAGATAAATCTTGTTTTCTTACCTAAAAATGATTGATTATTTTAAATGTGATGCTAGTTATATCTAAGAGAGTTTTACTCAAATTATAAATTATAATTTAGTAATGAAGGAATATAAAACTATACGAAACAATTTAAAGTTACTTATGTATTTAATGCTTAACTTAATTCATATTGTGTCACAGTGTATGTTAATAAATAAACAATGTTTATGTTATGTAGAACTAACACTTAATTATATAAGAAATTTGATTGTCTTAAGGAAGGTTAACAAGAGAATTAGCTCACCTCTTGAACCCAAGCCTGTTGTTTGATCGGTGCATCCGGTGCAATAGCGACTCTTCCGGCAGTTCTTTGTTTGTACTCGTGAAGAATGGGAATCTTGGAATTTTTGTCTCCCGATGACAAAACAACTTCGCGTTCAATCTATAAGTGAAACAATTTTTATCGTTAACTTTTACTTTTATTTTTTGTCTTTGCTTTTAATTATTCGTTTCGACTACTTCGGTAAAATTGTAATAATAACAATTAATATTGCACTCAACAATTTTTTAAATTTAATACAACAACTATGAGCTATATATTTTGAAGAAGTTACATAATATTTCATATATAATATATGTAATAATTATCTACACAATATTATTTATTAATTAATGTATTAAATAGTTTCTTATTCAAACGATCGAAGTGTCTGATTAATTTTTTCAAACAATAAATTCTATAGAATTCTATGACCCTTTAAACTTGTTGGTTTATATAATTTTCTCATCTTGTGAAAGTCTCGCGAAAAATAAGAGAATTGAATTGCAACCCGTAAATTGAGACAAACAATCGTGTACATCTGACAAAGCGAATACGATTACATTATCGCAAATATGTAAACTAGATAAAATGTTAGAATGGAAACAAGATTGGCTGATGCGTATTAGGACGCGGCTTTTTCATTTTCGGCAACCATTTCTTATCGTAAACACTGCAAAGCCTGTCGGTCTCAGTTTCACGGTATCTATTCGATTTTTCTAAATAACGTCTGGAAAAACAGAATCTGGAAGTTCACGAATAACACTCACGATCAAGACACTTTTTGCATGCACATAATAATGCATCAAAAAAAAATCACTGAACTAAACTCGCCTTGAAATCGCATCGCATTGCATCGTGTTAATCAGAAGAAAGCAAGCGTGATAAAATGAGAGCTATTGCAACAGAAAATGCACACGCCTAATTATTATCGCTCAGCAGCGTATACCGTTTATGAATAATTTTCTGTATATGCTTCAGCATAATTTTCGATATAATAATTTGCCAGGACGAACACAGGAAAGAAACAAAAAATCCTGGATAAGTTCGTTGCCCGTGAAATGAGTTTAATGTTATGCATGTAAAATTCTTGCGTTTCATCGTTTTTACAAAGTGAAAAATTAAAAAAAAATATTTACTTAAGAAAATGGTAAATACTATCATCTTCAAAAATATTATAAAATAATTACTAGGAATAAATTCTGGATTTGTTTTTCATAATGAAAAATTTAAACTTGCCTTTTAGTCAATGTGTACGCAGCTGATTTTCATATAACAGCTGATTCTATGTTTATATAATCGCATTACTTTCTTTTCTCTAAATAATTTATAATATAAAGTTTTCTGTATATCTTGTATAACATAAATATAAATGTAAATATACAAAGCAGTATATTAAAGGAGCATTTAAACATCTTTGTTATTTTAAATTTTAAGAAATGTTTGACAAAGTTATATAGTTTCGAGAGGGTACATCTGATGAGAAATGGATTTGTTCTCAACGTCATTTTTACAAGATTTCAAGAACATTGGTATTTCTTTAAACGGAGCTTTATATTTTTTTTGGATAATCTTATGACGTATAAAAAACCAAATTCAAAGACAGTCACAATGATATTGTTATAATCATGTAATCCCGAGAAATTTTTTCTGATGTTATCTTACTTACTGATTTTATACTTTTTAAAGCAAGTATCACTGATTTCAATGATTCTTCGATTTATAATGGAAACTTATCATATTTCGATTTATAATAGAATACTTTAATAAATGTTATACTTTAATAAATAACATATTTTCTTTTTTCGATACCGCAGACAACTTTTTCATTTACACATTGAATGCCGGTTTTGCATTGTTGTGGAACTTTTTATAGAGATGTATGAAAACTTAAAAATATCATAATCGAATCGATAATTTTCATGATCCGATCTGAGTATCAGATCAGTATTCTCGCACATTTATACTTTTGAGAATCTGATCTGATCGTACACATCTAATATAATGAATAGCAATATAACCATTAACGTTCAAGCTTTCAGCATTTCATACTTAGTCGATTACGAACGTGCGTTAAATCATTTATTTTTGTGAATTATTGTGAAAATGATGGTAGCGTTAACTTTAATAACCAGCTTTCACTAGCCGGACAAATGCCAATATCGATACTTCCCTTTAAAAAAACTGATCTGATTTTTCTAGAATGTGTGTTTCAATTAGAATATATCAGATGAATATACCTAAGAGACTAGAAACTGAAATGTTTTTAAAACGATTAATTACATTCAAAAATGTTTTAGATAAAAGTTGAATGGTTTCAAGAGGGGTTTTCATTGTTATAATTATTATCTTTCAACGTTCACATACCAATAACCACTAAAGATATGCGTTAACGAATTGTCGAAGAATATAGAAATATCATTACACTGGTGTTGATATACCTACTTACATATATACTTTATAAATACTACTTTATATACTTAAGAATTAGATTACGAAAGTATTTAGATGTCAATGGTTATTACTTTGAGCACATTTTGAAATATTTGCAATAGTGAAAAAAATATTTATTTTATTCTAATTACAATAAATAATTAATAAAAGTTGCACAACCTCTGCTATTATTAATGTTGCCATTACAGATAAATTCGATATGAGCATTACTCCGAATTATTGTAATTGAAATATCTTCTGAACTAAAGGTTTTTTGGTGTAAATAGTAATAAGTAAATTAGTACTTTTTTTT